CCTGGGTGGATATGGTAAGTTGGTTAAAGGAGACAGTACAGTCTAAGGCACACTGAGAAGTCATGATTGCTGAAGAACCACTCACCAGTATTCTCGGAGCTACTGATGGGTCTTGGAGTTTAATTGCTTGGGACAGTCGGACACAAAATGGCCAGCTAGGCCGCAATACAAACAGAGGCCAGATGTCATTCCTTTGCTCTGCTCCTCTTGGCTTAATTTGCCCAACCCACCTGCATGGGTTCGCTTGGAGGTGAAGATGGAGCTGACTGAAAAACCTTGGACTGGGTGTGATTTTGAAATGGAACAAAAGGGTAATTACCTTTATGACGATCATGGAGTCTCCTCTTGATCCGGTTACAAAGTGTGATTAAATCCTTTAGGTCCGAGGGTTCTTGGCGAAAAGCCAGCTGATCCTGGAGTCGTTCATTGAGAGCTTGTGAGAAGGCTCCTTTAAGTGAGGCATTGTTGAGGGTTGAAGCGGATGCCAACATTCGAAATTCTATGGCGAAATCAGCCACCGACTGCCTTTGCGCAGACTCCAGATTTGTTTTGCTAGTTCAGAGTCGGACTCGGATTTATCAAAAGTTTGGTTGAACTCGGACAGGAAATCAGTCAATGGGCCCGTGAGGAAACTCGGGGAGCATCTCTTGGCCTCTGCCCAACTGAGTGCTTAGCCGTGCACAAGTCCCACAACATGTGAAATCTTGGCTGCGTCGGTTGCAAAAGACTCTGGAGATCATTGGAAGGCCAAATTGCACTGGAGGAGAAAGCCTCTACAAACATTTAGAGCGCCATCGAACGTGTCAGGAGGAGGTGACATAGCGACCCGGAAGTCTGGTGGACCGGAAGGTGCAGCGGAACTAGGTCCGGGCGGACTCGGGGTTAGAAGAGCAGAGGGTTCCGGCACGGTGAGTCTATCATTTAATTGTTTCACCAAATTGCCCAACTGAAACAGGGTTTGATTTGTGTTTGAAAGTTGCTCTGTGAGGGACTGGAGGGTAGAACCGTGTTGAGATAAGGTTGCGGCGATAACGGGCGGAACTGATTCAGTACTGAGTTTAGGAGAATGCCTGGATGATTCTGTCATGTTGTGTGGCAATAGTCTAACCCACGACATGCAGAATCAGTCCACGAACCAGGGTGAGAGTTCAAAACAATAATTTATTAAAAGGAGAACTAAAGGAGCAGCGTAAAAATCAAGCTGAGGTCTTCAGACAGGATTCCGGTGAGGAGATCTGGAGACAGAGGGTGTTTAGGTCGGGTACAAGAGAACTGAGTTGATTTTTGGTTTGAGAGGACTTACGGTCTTGAAGTGTGGATGAGTCGAGAGAGGAGATGGTCCGGTCTGAGGACAAGGTGCTTACTTGCAACAGGGTTCCTTAGCGCTTGAGGTGGAGGGAGCTGAGCATGGAGGCTTGTGCAGGTGCGGGCGGGTTTAGGTGGGCTGTTGGGAGTGGGGTGACCAGTGACGTACTGAGAGACAAGTAGGGTGATGAAGAATTCCAGGTTGTTGTCTGTCAGAGGTGGAAGTGGAGTGACGTCTGCAGAGAGGGTTAACAGGAGGTCAGACATACAAAATCTACAACTCGTACCAAATACTCAAAAAGGCCAAAATACTCGAAAGCTACTTTCTCAGAATTGGCTGATAAGTGATAACAAAGTCGAGTTAATCCAGCGAAGTGAAGGTGTCTCTCAGCTGCTTAAATATCCCTATATCTGCTTAGTAATGCATTACTTATTAACATTATTACTATTGAGCAGTTGTTAATACTTTATTTAATAGTTTAATAGTTAATTAATGCTTAACAATGCACCAAGTAATGTTAATAAAGTGACCCTGACTGAAAAGTGTTACCAATAAATCAAAGCTTTTTATTTTATAGTTGATCCATTATGTCTCAAAGGATTCAAAATTGATACAATACAAAGAAAATATTAAATCTGTTTATTTTGTTGTCCCCAGTAAAAGTCTAGCTGGCACCCAGTTTATAGTAACCAATAAATATGTGTTTTAGAGTGTTCAGGTTTTAAAGCACAACATTTCAGAAATGCACAAAAAATTGGCTTGTGATCATAATTGGCCAATTTTCAGAATGATCAGCTAAATCTGCAAATGGTTTTTGCATTTAGAAATATTTTTTTCTTTTTGTCATGCACTTTTTTCCTAGAAAACTTCACTGAGCTTTTATCTGTTATCACAACAGACTTTGCAGATCTTCTCATAACTGGTAACTTTAAGATTCATGTTGATGATGCTATTGACAAATCTGCAGAACAATTCAAACAAAATTTTCATAATCGCACCCACGATCTGGGATGCACGCTCGACTTAATCACAGATGTGGATGTGTCGAACATTGTTGTCAAGGATGTGGGTCTATCTGACCATTTGTGTGTGTTTTCTGAGATATTTAATACACCAGCTACACATCACACCAGTTGTTCTAAAAAAAGGTATCTGGGTGATCACACTGCATCAGATTTTATAGAACGCATGAATACATCAACAAGTTTAACAAACAGCTGCGCTGCTTCTCTTTTAAATCACTTAAGCTGCAAAACCCTTGAAGTCCTTGACACCATTGCACCTGAAAAGGTCAAACTTATCTCTGTCAAACAAAAAGCTCTGTGGAGGTTCACTAAATCAGTTACGGATCAGAAGAGATAATGCAGGAAAGCTGAGCGTCAATTCAGAAAAAGTAACCTACCAGATCACTATGAAACCTTCAGAGTGCAGCTGCGCACCTACAACTCTGAATTAAAAAAGGTGAGACAAGCCTTTTTCTCCAAAGTCATTAATGATGTTATCAATTCCTGTGTTCTGTTTGCTACTATTGAGAGGTTAACTAATCTCCCAATACAGTTAAACCCTGATTTCATATCAAACTATGTGTAAGGAGTTTGTATTATTTTTCTGTGAGAAAACCATAAACATCAGCAGGGGCGGCGTTAGGCCCGGCTACTTGGGCTCAAGCCCTGAATGTTTTATGAAAAGCCCCAGATCTAAAACATGGAAGTAACATGCAGTACCAAAGTCCAACAGAGAGGGAGCAGCTGGCAGTAGTTTGTATACAGCCTGCCTGAGCCTCCACCACTGAAGAAGCCCTTCAGCAGCCGGCTTCTTCTGCAGTCTCTCTGGGTGTGTCCGAATTCACGGGAAGGATGCTTGCAAGAGTCCATTTTTCTGCCTAAAACGCATGTGTGAAGATCATCGGATATAAGGACGTTTTTTATTCAAAAAGTACAACGACAGAACCCCAGCTTTGGTGAGACTGGTGTTGACTCAGGTTTGTGAGTCTTATTTGAAAATATTTGTTGTGCTGCTGGTTTGCCTAAAGTTAGCTTATCAGGTAAAGTTGTTGGAGAAAGAAAGGGAATATTTACAATCATCTCACACTAAACACTAACAGGAACAATACTCTGCCCTGAATATGCTTAATATGTAGCTTCAGATTAAAAATTATGTGGTACAAGACATATATATATATGATGTTGACCAGTGCGTGTCACATGTGTGTGTGTGCACACGTGCGTGTGTGTTAAGCCCCGGATCTTCTTCAGTCCTAAATCCGCCCCTGAACATCAGATCAAGCATTTATTCCTCCACGTCAACCAGCACAGCCAGACCGCAGCAACAGCCTCACAGCAACAATCTGGCTAGACTGACAGCTTTTGGTGTGATTCGTGCTAAAATGCTGGAGGACATAGTAAAGACCTTAAACTCATCTACCTGCTGTCTGGACAACCTGCCAACTAACTTCTTTAAAATTGTTTTTATCTGCATAAAAGCTGATGCACTGAAAATTGTAAACTGTTCCCTAATGCCAGGTATTTTGATCTAAATCAATGAAAACTGCTGCTGTTAAGCCTCTTCTAAAGAAAAGGAAATTCGATCCCTTAATGATGAATAACTGCAGACCAATTTCTAATCTCCCTTTCATTGGGAAAATTATTGAAAAAGCAGTTATGATGCAGCTGAACAACTTTTTAGAGACCAGAAACCTGCTAGATAGTTTCCAGTCAGGCTTTAGACAACACCAGCGCTGAGACTGCACTGATTAATGTTAAAAATATTATCTCAAAGGCAGGGGTTGTGATGTCTCTACTGGTGATCAAAGATCAAAGCTGATCGCCATGACATGTGGGGTCCCTCAAGGCTCAATTCTCGGACCACTGCTTTTCAAACTCTACATGCTTCCCCTGAGTCAGGTCATATACAATAACAACATTACCCATCATAGTTATGCAGATGACACCCAGATCTACCCAGATCTTTTGACTGGTCTTCCCAAAAAAGCTGTGAAGCGCCAGCAGCTTATTCAGAATGCTGCTGCTAGAGTCTTAACAAGAACCAAGAGAACCGAGCACATCACTCCTGTTCTTAAATCTCTACACTGGTTACCAGTAAACTACAGAACCTTCTACTAGTTTATAAATCACTCAGTGGCATGGGGCCAGAATATATATATCAGATCGCCTTCCTGTATACAGCCAGCAGGGCTCTGAGATCCTTAGGAAACAGTCAGCTGGTAGAACCTCGGGTCGGAACCAAACGGGATGAAGCTGCTTTTAGCTACTATGGTGCACACAGATGGAATCAGCTTCCACATGACCTCAAATGTGCCCCGACTCTAGTAAATTTTGAATCAAAATTGAAAACCTTAATGTTTTCATCAGCCTTTGGATTACCCTTTAACTTTGTCTTATTTTTAAATTGTATTTTATGTGTTTTATGTATTATGTTGATTTTAATGTTTGCTAATGTAAAGCACGTTGAATTGGCTCTGTGTGTGAAATGTGCTATAGAAATAAAGCTGCCTTGCCTTTTTTTTTGTCAAGCAGTAGAACATTGCCATTTTTCCAGTCGCCTTTTATTGATAACGTGAGTTTTTTTTTTCCATAATCATACATTTCAAGTGATTCAGATTTTTCCATACTCTTATTTATTTGAGATAAGTCGGTATGGTCTTGGTGATAAAGCTGTTTTTTGTTTATCACAGTGGTGTGTAGTCGTCACTGCCACAACAGAGGCCAGTGTGTGTCTCCAGACGAGTGTTTGTGCCCACCAGGGTGGACGGGACCATCTTGTGAGACCGGTGAGATCGTTGTGTTATGGAAACAAAACCATCAGGTTTACATGAGGTGAACCTGTCCTTACATCAGTATTTGTTTTCCAGCTCGTTGCTCTCCTGTGTGTCTGAACGGAGGTGTGTGCATTCGGCCAGACACCTGCGAGTGTCCTCACGGGTTCTACGGCGCTCAGTGTCAGAACGGTAAACTCAGAACTGGGCTGACTTTAGAACCAGGGGGCAGAACATCTGATTTTCATCTAGCTAAACTATCTTTTACCTGCAGCTGTCTGCAGCCCGCCCTGTAAAAATGGAGGTGTGTGCATCAGGAATAACGTGTGCTCATGCCTGCAGGGATACACAGGAAGACGATGTGAGAAAAGTCAGTGACCTTTGACTCCTCCTTCCTTCTCCCACGCTCAAATCTGATCTTTAACGTCGCCAATAAAGATCACTTTTCTTTTTAACATCAAATTGTAATTTCATGTAGATTGTGCGTGATTTCACTCTCCAGAAGTCTGTGGAGGTTGATTAGTGTTTGACGTTTTTCCCTTCCCAGGTGTGTGTGAGCCCAGGTGCATGAATGGCGGAAGATGTGTTGGTCCAGATGTGTGTGACTGTCCATCTGGCTGGAAAGGAACAAGATGCAGCAAACGTAAGTGAACAGATCACCTGGTTGCATGACCAAGAATCTGTTTGCATTTCTGTCCAGTTGATCTGACTAAACAGACGTCAGAATTTGTTCTGTTATCAAAACTAGAAGTGCCCTGAAAAATCGATTACATAATTACGACTCTGAAATAGAAATGGAAAAAGTATTTGTGAAACTAAATATTAACGTATTTGCATGATTTGATTTGAGCATACCTCCTGAAATAACTCCAAGAACAGAAAAGCCCACAATCCAAGAGGACTCAGTAGAAGAAATGCTCCTGGAGGAAAAAGTCCTCCACAGAGAAGCTTTAGGTGCTGCAGCTCTTCTGCATAGGAAGGGAAGATTAAAATAATCAGCTTGATTCTGAAGGAACTTGAAGGAAAAAGAGAGAAAACCCTGAAAACTCACTGGTGGCTGAAAAAAAACATGTTGGTTTTAATTTCTATACAATAAATGGACAGCCAAGGCTAAATATCCACTTTTAGATTTAAAAAACAGAAATGTTAAAGCTACTGCCAGTGGCTTATCAGGGTCACCATGGTAACCACCAGCATCTCCTCCTCCCTGACAGTAAAGAGATGGAGAAACAGTTTTTTACTTGTTATTTTTTTTAAATATGATCAGCCACTCTGAGTTTAACATGCAGGCTAAACATGAAAACAGTCTTCTATCCCCATTTCCTGCATTAGTCGCTACTAGAAAATAGACGAGAAAATGCTTGGATTAGAAAAGCCACTCCGAACTACATGACATTGAAAATGAACATTCATGGACGTACCCATGTTGGTGAATGCTGTTGCTGTTTTAGCATCTAGGAGCAAGCAGAGAAGGTCTCAGCTAGTTGAAGCTAACTGTTAGCATTAGCAGCTCCACCACACGGCAGAACTCCTTCAGGCTTATGTTTTTTGTGAAGATAAAACATCAACGCTGTCAAGCAAACAAAGTCAGTGGTGGAGCTGCTGCTAGGGCTGCATCTAACGATTATTTTCATAATCGATTAAACTGTCGATTATTATTACAATTAATCGATTAATCGTTTTTTTGTTAATAATCCACAAAATGACCCGCAGCAAGAGAAATCCAGAAAGAAGTCATCATTATATTTTACAATTATGTGTTTTAAGGCTGTAAAACACCTTGCAACATACTTTTAACATTTTTATTAGACAAAATTACACAAAATAAACATTTCTCATATTTCTTGCTTGTTTAAACACTCGCAAAGTAAAAACTGTTGTAGATTTTAAAGCATACAAGTATAACTATGCCGTGTTTTATTTATCCCCAACCCACTTGCCCATATATTTTTCCATGCAGTTGTCCTTTCTCAAGTGAAGAATCGTTATGGTTTTGTGCTGTTCTTCACTGGATGAGAACATTCTTATAACAGACGTGCTAAATTTAGCAAGCGCAGGAAACACTACATGGAGGAGATTCACAATTGCATCCAGTCAATCAGCAGCAGAACATAATGAAAGTGCAGATGAATTGTATGTTGCTTTTAAGCTTAATATACTACCTGTAATATATCAACCTGATTGATCTTTGAATGTTTTATCAGAAGAATTAGGATTTTTAGCTTTTTCAGTGATCATGGTCCACTTAGTATTAATTCAGACAGAGTCAAGGATATAATTAAAAATAAACTTTATTTTCTAGACGAATTACATACATGACAAGCTATAAACAAGTTTATGTGATGGATGAATGTAAGTGGATGGAATGTGATGTATGGAATGGCGTGAACTTTCTGAAAGAAATTTTGAATTCTGGGTGTAAGAATTTGTGGTTGTTATAAGCTGAAGAATTGATTTATCAAAACGGCATCAGACGCAATTCATGTCGTGCCTACGTACCCGTTCTGGAGACCCCCGTTCGGATCTGAGATGTTGAGGAGTCTGTGACCCCACTGCACGTGGCTCATAGGAAAACCTCGATGCGACCAAGTCAGTGCTGGGATGCCTCCGGGTCACAACAATAGAGGAAATCGTTTGCGTCTAAAACAGCTGTTTCTGAATAGCTGAAGGAGCAAGTTTCTGTGTCGCAGCAGGCAACTTTTGGCTTGTCGAAAGCTTTGAAGGTTCAAAAAGTCCCTTCAGGATTGGCCACTCCGAAGGTGTACTCGAACTCGAACTGAGCTTGAACTGAATCACTCAGGAAGTGAGTTCTGTTTTAATAATTCTCATATTATGATTGTGTGGCCAATCAGGACAAAAGAGGTTAAGAGGTGTTAACAAACAAACAAACCTCAGAACCCACGCCTTTTCCGGGTACAAAAGATGCTCTGATTTGTTGATAAGATCTCTAGGTGCATGCAATTACTTTAACTTATTATCTTGTCATGTGAATGAGTGTGTGAGCTTGTCAAGCCACGTACGCTGATTAAATATATGGGTCATATATTTCATTTCATCTTTATTAATCTAAGCACAGATCAATCAACCTTATTAATTTAAGCACAGATTAATCAAGACATTTCATTTAACACCTTGTCCATTCATTATATGATCAATTAACGCATATTGTTCATTTCCTTATGATTTAATTATAAAAGTTCATTTTTTTGTTTTGTGAAGCAAAGAATAGATAACAGCAGCTTGGCAGAGAAGAATCTTGGGAAGGGAGCATGTTGACAATGTTGTGATCCCGAGATGTCAACATGCACTTGCAGAATCTTCTTGCAGCTTGGAATATTAGATAGGAAAACACACAGAGGCAGATTAATGCTGATGACCTGTCTCTGAAAAGGCCAAAATAGATGAAAAACTGACCATTTCTGAATGTTACAAACGTTAGTACGCTGCAAAGATACCGTGTGAAATTATACTATAAAAAACTCAGCAGAACAGCACTCACAAAAAGCGATCTGCTTTATAATGACGGACCAATGAAGTGTGGTTATTTTTTTATTTTGTGTTACTCACCAGGCTGGCTCAGCTGCATCAACTTCAACATGTTTTTGTCTCAGATGTTCAATTAGAGAAGTCGTGCTTCCATGCCATGCTAGATCGTTTTTGCATATCTTGCAGGTCACCCGTCGTTTCACGTTATCTAGAGTGAAGTGCTCCCATACTTGTGATGTTGTTGTTTGGGTTTTTTCTTCCGTTTTATTGTTTCTGTTTTTCACCAGTACCTTTTCTTGCGCTGCCATCTTCCTCAGTGTGAGCATGCGCATCAGCCATGTGCATGGTACGTCATGACAAACAAGGGTACCTATTGGCTGATTTCTTCTTCTACTGCTCCACCAGATCAGTGGCTCATTACTGCCACACACTGGCCGCAAATTTAACAGATTGTAACCGATGTAACAGATTGTGTTGGAAATAGACAGCTTACAGTAAAATGTGATTATATAAAACTAATCAAAGACTAAATAAGTTTTCAACTATTTTAACAATCAATTATAATCGATTGAATCGATTAGTTGTTTCAGCTCTACTGCTAACCAGTCAGAGATGAGCTGTCATTTTCTGATCTCCTCTCCTCTGACTAACTTCTAGTTCATGAAACAGGAGCACCAGAGCTTTTATCCCACAGAGATTGACTCACAAGGTTTTCATTTATACCAGAGACTTCTGCAAAAAAGTGTGAACTTGGTCCTTAAAGTGACCGTGTGTATTTTTCCTAGTGATAGGGTGCAGTAGATATCTAAATTGTTGCAAGCAAGCAGTAGTTTTGTGTTGGAGTAATACCCATTAGGGTCAAAAAGCCCTGGGGAGTGCTAACTTTAGCCAACTAACAAGCACATCAGACTCCCTTTCATCACTGGCAACAAGTGAAGAGGTAAATGTGTAAAACAACAACATTTAAGAATTACGAAGGTTTTCAAACCGTTTGTTACAAATCAGTAAATGCATTTCGTCCTCATGGGCTCCCGTAGCAGGAAACATGGCATTTAATTTTTTTTGTATGACCTTCTTCACAACTCTCTCTTTATTCTGCTCTCCCCACCTATTCCACCTTCCTCAGGATCAACTGATTTCCCTCTTTCCTATTCACTCTCTCTTTCTTTACATTTTTTCTTTTAAATCGCAATTGCTTATTCTTGCTCATTTTAAATATACGTTTAAACATTTTTGAAATGCTTTTTTATATTTTTACAATTTTTATATTTTTTGTTTTTGTGAAGCGCCTCATGATTTTTATCTTGAGAGGCGCTATAGAAATGATATTTTTCTTTCTGTCTTTCTTTCTTTTAATATGGCGTCACCCACAGACTTTGACCTGCTCCCATGTTTTTCAAACCTGATTTTTATGGTTATATGTTACGAAGCCGCCAGAATTTTTCCACAACTGGGCATCATTTCATTAATTTTCAACAACATTTTGATGGATATTTCCAGAGATTAATAGTAAAAAACTACACATTGTCTTTTTAATGAGAGTCAGATAGGTTGTCAGACGAGTAAGTCTCAGACAAGCAGCCGCTGTGGGAAAACTAGAAGTTGTTTCGAAAATACTTTATTGTTTCATGTCCATAAATGCATCGCTTTCAAAAACAATTACAAATTATAATTAAGGAGCAAATCAGAAATAAAAAAAGTATGTTAATCCTTTGACATATCATTATGATTTAATTATAAAAGTTAATTAATCATTGTCTGCCTCATTGGAATTAGTGCATCGCTAAGAATCTACTGAACTGGATGCGACAAACCCATCAACTCATTTCTATAACGCATCTATGTTTGTTTTGTTTCCTCTCAGCCAGCTGTCTGCAGAAGTGTCTGAATGGAGGCGAGTGTGTCGGTCCTAACACCTGCCACTGCAAGTCGGGGTGGCAAGGCATGCTGTGTCAGATCCGTGAGTATGACATCACAACGTAAACACGACTTGTTGCTTTAAATGCCACCCACCTGGACCCAACGGCCATGATTTTCCTCTCAGCTCACTGTGAACACAAATGTCTGTATGGAAGTCGCTGCGTTAGTCCAAACGTCTGTGCCTGCAGGAGCGGATACTCTGGACCTCTGTGCTCCACCAGGGTAAGCATGGGATCTTTTACAAAGTCAAACGTCCACAAATTGGGAAAAACTCACAAAAATATATTCAGAAATACCAAAACTAAACAAAAAGGTTACAAAGCAACTAAACAAATACGTAACTAAAACTAGGGATGCATTGATACCACTTTTTTCCAAACTGATACGATAACGATACTTCTGACTACTTGCTGATACCGATTACCGATACGATACTTCTACCACACAAAAAATGCTCTGAAATGGAATACAGGATTAATTTTCTTCTCTGCTTTCAACAGGAAAAGACTGTGATGTAGATTAAAAGTAAAATATATGAATAGAAATGATCACAAAACCAAATTATTAGGTGAACAGAAATGACAAGTTACAGTGAAGCCATTTTCAAGCAACTACATTGGTATCGATCCTGGTATCGGTTAACTTTTACCGATACCGGTATCGATATCGGTATCGGTGCATCCCTAACTGAAACAGCTACAAAACATAAAAACATTACAAGCATAGTGTATAAAATACATTTGTCCATCAATGAAACCATCAAAGTCTATGAGAGTGCAGAAGCGGAAGTAGGACAATCATCGGCCTCCAATGGTAGGGCCGGCAGAGCGATCAGCTTGGCCACCGGCCGGGTGTAGATCCTACCTCCCACCTTCACCTCTGCCAATTGAACCTGTCCATCACGGCCTGGATGAGTTACGACGATCCTCCAGACGAGCCACAAGGCCCTGGGCAGCGGTGGATCCACGATCATCGCTACACTGTCCTGGCTGATGTCAGTTGATGAGGCCTGCCACTTCTGGCGAACTTGGAGACTTGGCAGGTACAGGCGAAGGAACCGAGTCCAAAAGTGATCCGCCAAAACTTGTGAATGCTTCCATTGTTGACGCCCAATGAGCTCGTTCTCCGGGTAGACGACTTGAGGAAGTGAACCATCTGGCCGCCCCATCAGAAGTGTATTGGGTGTCACAGGGTCTGGGTCACTAGCATCCGCCGACACATAACCCAGAGGTTTACTGTTCAGGATACCCTCGATTTCAATCAAGACGGTGCGTAACACCTCCTCTGGGACAGGTTGGGCTCCCACAGTGACTCGTAGGGCATCCTTCACCGAACGTGCTTCCCTCTCCCACACTCCCCCAAAGTGTGGTGCTGCTGGAGGGTTAAAACAGAAGTCCGTCTTCTGTGGAGCAATGAGCTCTTGTAACAGGGGAGAGATCTTAGTGAAGGCTTCCTTGAGTTCCCTTTCTCCTCCTTTAAAATTTGTTCCCTGGTCAGAGAACAGCTCAGCCGGTGTTCCTCGGTGGGCGATGAACCGACGAAGAGCCATCATCAAGGCATCAGTGTTAGTGCTAGTCATAATATCTAAAGGTGCTGCCCTAGTGGTGAGACATTTAAAGAGGATTCCCCATCTCTTTTCATTCCGCCGGTCCACTTTCACCTTCAAAATAAAGGTAACAAAGGAAAATTTGTCCCAAAACTCGCGACTTTGAGGGCTTTCCTACATGGTGGATATAAAAAAAGACACAACTAAACCTCAAAATTAAATAAAAATGGCCTCGAAGTAACACAAACTGAATGTGAATGATGCTGAGCTCATTAAAATGGTTTTAACCAGAAACAGAGCAGCTAAAATTTTAACATGGAACATCCAAATTAAATAATTAAAGGGACAAAATGACGAAGACTCGTAAAGCACAGAAACATCTTTGTGTTTTTGTCCTCTTGCATGTTTTGTTGTTGTCTTTGTTGCATATTTGTGTGATTGTTTACTTGGTTGTGTTTTCAGCTCCACATCCAGCGAGGATGACGAGTATCTTCATCCAGAGGAGATGGGATGTTTCACCACAGCAGCTCCATGACTCTTGACTGAGTGTGTAAATAGGTTTGTGCTCCTCGCCAGTAACCCAGACTGAGTATTTATTTATTTGGTGTCACGCGTTTCTTGTATAAATCTTCATCTCTGTGTAATCTGTTGTTTCTTATTAAATCTGGATTATTTGGTTGTTTTGTAAGAAAATTAAAGCTCCTCCAGATGTAAAATCTGATTGGACCTGTTTATTTCCTGAAACAAAAGCCTACATAGACGACCACGGTAGCAGAACAGAACAGAACCGGCCTGTTAGCAGGATGATGTAAACCTGCTCTGAACCTTCTGAATTAGATCTGTAAGCTTCATTGAGTTTCTTCAATTACTTCTTGACTCTTTTACTCCACCAGAAAAATGCCTTGCACCTGAACTGACTCAGGAAACATCGTTCACCCACTCCTCATGGCTGCAGCCGTGTCATCGTTTACTTATCTAATCCTAAACAAGGACTTCCTGCTGCAGCGACGTAAGGTTTTGGGGTTTTCTTTTGCCCAGGTGAATCCAGGTGACGAATGATACTCGTAAGTGATCAAACGAAACCCAAGTTTACCTGTTCCTAGCAAATTCGCTCAAAACAGAATGGTGGCCAGCAGACCTTCAGGAAGGAAAGAGATCCAAAGTTTGCTTACACGGCTGACATTGAGAAGGTCGTTTTAGCCAAATCTTACATTATATAATCTCGCATATTACTACAAAATCTAGAGCTAATGCTGATCACCGTAGCCGTAGTCCTGAGTCCAGCTGACCTCAAAGGTTAAGTCAGCTATGGATGAAAAGCCAGTGTTTACTTACTGAGAATTTCATTTACATCCTTTCAAAAGTTGGTGAGATATTTCATAACAATCACAAATTCATCCATCTGTTCTCTTCTGCTTATTCGGGTCGGGTCGCGGGAGCAGCCTAAGCAGAGAGGCCCAGACTTCTCTCTCCCCAGCCACTTGGGCCAGCCCCTCTGGGGGCGTTCCCAGAGACACAGTCCCTCCAGCGTGTCCTGAGTCTTCCTTTAGGTCTCTTGGTTGGACGTACCTGAAAAACATCTCCAGGGAGGCGTCCAGGAGGCATCCTAACTAGATGCCTGAGTCACCTCAACTGGCTCCTCTCGATGTGGAGGAGCAGCAGGTCTACTCCGAGCCCCTCCCTAATGACCAAGCTATCTCTAAGGGAGAGTCCAGCCACCCTGCTGAGAAAACCCATTGCGGCCGCTTGTATCTGCGATTGTGTGCCTGCTGTCACTAACCAAAGCTCGAGACCAAAGATGAAGGTTGGAACGTAGATCGACCGGTAAATTGAGAGCTTCGCCTTCCGAAGCTTGAGCTACTCCCGTTCTTTGACATGTTCTGGCATCTATTGCCTGAGTTTCAGTCTCAAGCAAACTTCTTAATGCTTTTTGTGTTTGTTGATAAAACAAATGAACTTTCCCAGGCAGATGACTAATCCCAGTGCTACTTCTGCTACGAGTGGCGGAAAAGTTACGCTGTTCACCACCCTGAACACACCGTCCCCACCTAAAAGTGGCTCCTAACCCCGTTTGGTTAACAGTGTTGGTGTTTTATTTTTTATTATCTTTAATTAAGGTATTAGTGATTTTTTTAAAACTGTGATTAATGCAGTTTAAATAAAGCATCAGAACTTTTAAATGTTTGGGGTGTTTTAATTTCTTGGGCTATTTGAGCCAAATAGGTTTAACCCTTACATGCTCCTAGTGCATTTTTTACACAGACAGGTGTGTTTTTGTGAAAAACTTTGGAAGTACCAAAAAATTATTTTAAAAATGTCCTTCCGCTATTTAATATAACTGTAAAGGATGGGTAGTTTACATCTTACTTATGACCCATAAAATGTGAGATTCCATAGAAATATGAAATATCAATCTGATGGATCTTTGAATATTTTAACCAGAAGATCAGGACTTTTTATTGCAGGGATTAAGCGACACTTCGTATTAACTCAGAGGAAAGAAAGAGAGTCAGGTTTATAATAGTTAAGAAATTGATTTCTACACAATTTAAACAAAACTAACTTTAAACCCTCTTTGTACTGATGGACTAAGTTGGAGTGAGACGTGATGAATGATGGTGTGTGTGTGGAGTGTTATTCGGAATAAGCGGATCCGGAGAAGCATTTGGTTCTGAGTGGGAGTGAATGTTTCGCTCTAAACTTTAGTTGGAGATTTAAAACACACATGAAACACCATCTGTCGGTCTATGTACCCAGGGGGAAGCCTCTGTTAGATCCAGAATGTCGAGGTCTTCTTGGACCCTCCATGGAACCAAAGCCGGTAGAAAAGCAGCGGTGCCGACCAAACTGGTCTTGGAATGCTTCCAGGTTACGACAGGTTCATTGGCGTCAGCGAGACCCTGAAGGGGTCGTGAGGTTCAGCTTTTATTCTGAAGGAACCGTTGCGGTCAGGTGTAGCTTGCAACAGATTTTATCCAGCTTGTCGAGGTTCTTTTGGCTGAAGAGGAAGTCTGGATGGCCGGTCCGAGACTTCTCTAGAACGCTTTGAACTAAAGAAAAGGTGGCGTGGAATAGTTTTTATAATTGTCATATTTTGGTTTACTGGTGAATCAGAATTTGACATGCAAAAAAAGGGTTTATACAAACACCACAGAAAACCACACCTCGTGTCAGAAACGAAGGTTCTGATTGGATCACACAAAAGGAAATGTGTCGTGTGACTTAAGCATTACTCTGTGTCATTAGTGTCTGGTGCAAATGTCCACGACTATAATTACTTGTAAATTACTACTGATCACAGGATTATAATATCAAGTAATAACATTGTCATTTCACAGATTAATTGAACATTGGGTTCACATTATTATTGGTAATAACAAAGTTGTTTGATTATGTGTTTATCAAGAGAGTTCTTCATCTTTGTCTTGAGCTGTAACAGAGGTGAAGCAGTTCCGATGCAGAGGGCATGAAAGACCTTGGCCAATATCTCATGTAGATTAGGCCTGTGTCAGTGACTTGGCCACCGATCTATATATATATATAGGGAGGAAGTATACAGCCGCAAACAAAACGTAGCGAGAAAACAGGTAACAAAACTGTTCTGTGTTTTAAAAAACAACTACAGTATGGGATTAGAAATATGACACAGCTAGAACTCACCTAAGATGTTCAAAGAAGATGATGTCATACTACCATAATGACCGTATGTGAGCTAGTGTATCTGATAGATGTGAATGAAAATGTAATGTTCTTGCACAAGTTATAGTATTTAAATCTCTGTTTTGATCATTATCATACATGGACTTATTAAGATTACTGGTAGTTTTGTATAGTTCTGTCTTTAGTTCTGTGTATTTTTCCTCTTGCTGAATGATGGTTGTTGTTACTCAATATATTTCAATTATTATTATCATAATTATTATTTTTATCTCACTCTCATTTTTATTATTACATTACTTTTATCTTATTATTGTCATTTCTTTCTTTTTTTGAGAAGTAATGTGATTGAATAAATAGGGAAGGCATAAAAAGCTAGGCTTCAGCCTACACCTTTTTGTTTACTATAATTGAGATTCTGTATTACTGTGTTCTTTCTTTTCTTTTTAAATGACCAAAATAAAGAAATAAATAACTATACATATATATATATATATATATATATATATATATATATATATATATATATATATATATATATATATATATATATATACAGGTGCTGGCCAGTAAATTAGAATATCATCAAAAGGTTGAAAATATTTCAGTAATTCCATTCAAAACGTGAAACTTGTACATTATATTCATGCAATGCACACAGACCAATGTATTTCCAATGTTCATTACATTTAAATTTGATATTCATAAGTGACAACTAATGAAAACTCCAAATTTGGTATCTCAAAAAATTAGAATATTCTGAAAAGGCTGAATATAGAAGACACCTGCTGCCACTCTAATCAGCTGATTTACTCAAAACACCTGCAAAGGCCTTTAAAAGGTCCCTCAGTCTTGTTTTGAAGGCACCACAATCATGGGGAAGACTTCTGACTTAACAGCTGTCCAAAAGACAATCATTGACACCTTGCACAAGGAGGGCAAGACACAAAAGGTGATTGCTAAAGAAGCTGGCTGTTCGCAGAGCTCTGTGTCCAAGCACATTAACAGACAGGCGAAGGGACGGAAAAAATGTGGTAGAAAAAAGTGTACAAGCTCTAGGGATAACCGCACCCTGCAGAGAATTGTGACGACAAACCCATTCAAAAATGTGGGGGAGATCCACAAAGAGTGGACTGCAGCTGGAGTCAGCGCTTCAAGAACCACCACGAGGAGACTCATGAAAGACATGGGATTCAGGTGTCGCATTCCGTGTGTCAAGCCACTCTTGAACAAGAAACAGCGCAAGAAGCGTCTCGCCTGGGCCAAGGACAAAAAGGACTGGACTGATGCTGAGTGGTCCAAAGTTATGTTTTCTGATGAAAGCAAGTTCTGCATTCCCTTTGGAAATCAAGGACCCAGAGTCTGGAGGAAGAGCGGAGAAGCACAGAATCCACGTTGCATGAGGTCCAGTGTAAAGTTTCCACCGTCAGTGATGGTGTGGGGTGCCATGTCATCTGCCGGTGTTGGCCCACTCTGTTTCCTGAGGTCCAGGGTCAATGCAGCCGTCTACCAGGAAGTTTTAGAGCACTTCATGCTTCCTGCTGCTGACCAACTTTATGGGGATGCAGACTTCACCTTTCAACAGGACTTGGCACCTGCACACAGTGCCAAAACCACCAGCACCTGGTTCAAGGACCATGGTATCCCTGTCCTTGATTGGCCAGCAAACTCGCCTGACCTTAACCCCATAGAAAATCTATGGGGTATTGTGAAGCGGAGGATGCAATACGCTAGACCCAACAATGCAGAGGAGCTGAAGACGACTATCAGAGCAACCTGGGCTCTCATAACACCTGAGCAGTGCCACAGACTGATCGAGTCCATGCCACGCCGCATTACTGCAGTTATTGAGGCAAAAGGAGCCCCGACTAAGTATTGAGTGCTATACATGCACATTCTTTTCATGTTCATTCTTTTCAGTTGGCCAACATTAGAGAAACAAACATTTTTTCATTGGCCTTTAGAATATTCTAATTTTCTGAGATACCAGATTTGATGTTTTCATTGGTTGTCACCTATAAATATCAAATTTAAATGTAATGAACATTGGAAATACATTGGTCTGTGTGCATTGCATGAATATAATGTACAAGTTTCACGTTTTGAATGGAATTACTGAAATATTTTCAACCTTTTGATGATATTCTAATTTACTGGCCAGCACCATATATATTCACCCACACAACAAATCATCAGGACTTAAAACACACAAAATATTATTACATTTTTTTCATGAGTTTACATTTTTGGTTTTGATCACATACCTGGCAATATAGGGGGAATAAAGGGATTAAATATCAGAAACACACAAATATTTTATATTTCACGAGAGCTCAAGTTAAGGATGATATCTATGTAAAAATGGCACTAATAAATATTATATAATATTTCTGTAGGAGGTTTTGTTTCAGCATTCTTTGTGCATAAGGAGCATAAACGTTGGGAAATTAAGAGTTATATCCAAGCTAGCACAGCTATTCCCCTTGTGGAATAGGTATGGGCAAGCGCATGTGTCCCAGCAGGGGTCGTCTGCGGTTTACACTGTGGCCTCACAGGGGTCTGCGAAAGAATTTTATGGGGAGATGTTACAGTCAAACCCTCTAAAAACTCATGTAGGGTCTGTTAAAGTCTATGTGGGCTGGATAAACCCCTGTGATGCCACCATGGAAACCGTAGACAAACCCCGGTGGGAACCAGCTTGCCCATATATATTCCTTATGGGGCCCACCTATGTGTGCTGGCTGGGATGAGGGTAAAAGCCAGTGGGTCGGGGCCACAGGGGCCAGGAGGAGCAGAGGGACCACAGGGGCCCGGAGAAAAGGAAGATTAAAAGATTAAAGAGGTCACATCAGCTCTGCACTAATGAGGACGCCAAGGTTCCACAAGTTTGTTTCCTCACAGGAATCTAAACATTCACGCATCTCCACAAAAGGAACATTTAACAGTAGCGTCGGTAAAAAAATCGTTATTGATATTTACTTGTTTTGGATAAAAATCTTAAATGTTTAGTTTTACCAAAATATGAAAGGTGTCTCTTCTATGTGGTGAATAATTTAGGGATATTCTGCCCTCTAGTGGCAGAAAATATTACAACAATAATGTCAAAAACATTTTAAAGTTCAAATTTTCAACAAAAAAATTCTGGATAAAATGTATTAAAAGTTCATGACCGTCTCCCTCTGGAGGTTTGTGTTTCTTCACAGCTGACTGGAGTTGTGAATAATCTAGGTCAGCAAAAGGAGGAAAGCCCTTTTTCTGTTAGAATCAGAAGGATGTGGACAACCTGACAGTTCCCCTGAGCTTCAGCAGCATGAGGCATCGTCCCTTCAGATATTTATAACCGTCCCCAAAGATGGCACTGGACGGGCACTGACATAGGGCCCGGGCCGGGCTGGTACACCTGGACTGGTCACTCAGTCCTCCTCCGCAGGAGGCCAAACAAACAGCCTGACTCAAGTCAGCATCAGAGATTTAAACAATAAGGAATAAAAGCTGTAAAACTGATCAAATAAGAATGAGCTCAAATCTTAAAAAGGAAAGAAATCAGTTTAAATGACACAAACATGACGTAAAACTAAAAATATTGAAGCTTTTATACATGTGCACGTGTTTGTTTTCATTTCAAGAGAAATCTATTGAGGAAAAAAAGAGAACAAAACATAAAACCCCAACTTTTTGCATAATTTTTCACTGAATATTTCTTCTAATAGGTCAAATTAATAAGTTCATCCCATCCCATATTTTTTTTAAATTCGTCATTTATAATATAAACAAAACATCTTTCTGCTTTTATTTTGAAGGAGACATTCATTTATGAGCTAAATATCCCACGCAGGTCTTTAATAAATGTTTTTTTTATTCATAAGTTTATTTTATTCAACTTTACTCTGTTCCGTTGTCCTAAAACCTAAAACTAGGAAATCAGTGGTTCTGACTTGAGGAGAGGTCCATATAGGTCGAGTCTATTTAAACCTCCATCCTCCAACAGGTGCCATCCCAGCACCCCCACCCCAGCCTCCACCTGTCCCCCCTCTTCCGCGGCGGGCTGGCGGGGACCCAGAAGGCAGAACTGGTATGCAGCCCGTCCGAACGGTCACCGGATCGTCGGCAGCTGCTCGAGCCCCGGTTCTATTTTCACACCCGCCCCAGGATAAAGTCCTGCACGACCCGAACCCGCAGCTCCGTTCAGACCACGATGAAGTCCAGCAGCACCGCGCAGACCGACGGCTTCGCCTCCGAGCTGGACAGCGGTTCCGACAGCTCGGACGGGAAGTCCACTGGCGGATGTAGCCCTCGGAGGGAATCGGTTCAGGAGGCAGCTTCCCGTCCCGGTGCGCCGCGCCGGAGGAGGCGGCGGCGAGGGAGCGGCAGCGCCGCGCACAGAGGCGGCGGAGACGCGCCTCCGTCCGGCTCAAGTAAACAGAGGCAGGCGGCGAACGCGCGGGAGCGGGACCGCACGCACAGCGTGAACACTGCCTTCACGGCGCTGCGGACTCTGATCCCCACCGAACCCGCAGACCGGAAACTCTCCAAGATTGAGACGCTGCGCCTGGCGTCCAGCTACATCTCCCACCTGGCCAACGTGCTGCTGCTGGGGGAGGACTGTCGGGACGGACAGCCCTGTCTCCGGTACCGGGACATCCTGCACGGATCCGCCGCGCTGAGCGCCCCCTCCCTGCGACCCATCTGTACTTTCTGCCTCAGCAACCAGAGGAAACTGGTAGGTAGGCGACCTCCTCACACACCTGCTGCGGTGCAGAGCCAGACCCGAAGCCATTCACCTGCACGGTGTCCTGGTTGGGACATCATCACATATCAGGGAACAAGTCACCAGAATTAAAATTAGCTGCCAGATGATGCTGATGACAGCTCTAATAAACACAAACAGAGATGATGCCGTTATAATAAAATAAACCTGTTCAAAAGCCATGATTTTGTCCTGAATCCAATATTTACAAGTCAGCTGAGTGTTTGGACATGTGTGGGAGGAGCTGACAGCTGGTGTCTGGACCCATAAGTTAGAAAATGAAGCTGGCTCTGGATCAGTGACATTATGTCACAATAGCATCTGAATAATTAGCGATTTACAACGTCGAAACCTGTAAATGTCCCAGTGTCTTGAGTCTGAACACATCTCTTCTGGGTTAACAAACACTTTGTTTTCTCTCCCAGCTCAGAGACGGAGGGAAGCACGCAGCTGCTCTGTGAACTGGAGCCTACCTTGCCATTTATACGCTCTGAACTTTGTAAAAATATTCATTTTTGGCTTCAAAAAAGAAAAGATGAAAACAAACGAGGGAAAAGCACCTCCTAGTGAGACGTGAACTCGTGTTTTGGTGGGGCTGTAACCAGAGCCGATGTTTAAAGCTGCACCTGACGTGGGGCTATTTTGGTCCCACTGATAGTACAAACTACCCCTGATGGACAACCACCAACACCACCAGGACCCCACATATCCCTCCTAAAAAAAAGGCCTCGTCACCTACGGTCACATGGAGGAAACTGAAGAGGACTTGGTGCAGTCGTTGCTGTCAGTTTAAAGGAACCTTCAAGGACAGTGGAGAATATTAAACTCCAAAGGTGTCTCAAGCAGTCCATCACATCCTGTGGTGACCAGAACTGCAGTTACCTTTGATGCTGGTAGTTGAACTGCCTTGGAGACCTCAGCACCAGTGGTAGGCAAGTCCATAAGCTCCATAACGGAGACCCTTCGAGTTGGGCTTAAAACATCTTCTACTGGAATCTCCATTCCCAGAGGAGTGAAGCCATTAGCTGTCCGAATCTGTTACCGCTTACCCCTGGCTTCGATCGATAGTTCCCTTAAGTTCTAGAATCCATTTCTGAAGTTAACGCCGTGACCGGCACCAACCGCTTCAGCAAAGGGGGGCTGGGACACATCCCAGTAGAAAACAGTGTCTCCACTCACTCCCACGTCTGAACCCCATTGGAGCAGCTTCAACTGGGTTCAAGCCCACATGGGGTCCATTCTCATGGTGCTTTTGATGTACCTCGGAACTGGGAATGGCATCACACTTGGCTACAGTAGTCTGAGAAGTCAGGATTCCAATATGGCGACGCACGCCATTGTTTGTAGATTCCTTGAACAGTTTTAAGCTGTACGTTCAACTTGCAAACAAAACATTTTCTATGTTCAGCTTAGAGTTGCAAGCACATGTAACATTGATTTTAAACGCACTCTTTTAAGTGTGTTTCATGAAATAAACACATTTCACCCAAATAATTATTGTTTATACAGAGAGCTGCCATTTTAGATTCTTCCTGAGTTTTCGACCGGGGGGCCGACATTTTTCCTACTCGGAAGTCGAGATTTACGAGGACAAATCAAACACACCATTAAGGATCCATATCTCAATCTCAGCTAAGAATTATATACAAATGCTTAAAAATGTTAAATTGTGGTTTCAGATCATGTGGGACATTTCTGAGGCTTTTCTAGCCTACGTGTTGGGATTTTATATTTAAAAATTTTAAATGTATTTTATGTAATTATTTACATTTTAACTATCATCTCATACAACATGTTTGATTTTGTGAAAAAGGCATAGTAAAACGTGTTTTTAGTTGGGTAAGCGCGCTTCCCTCAGTAGAAATAAATGCACTGGGGCAAATGGAGACCCATCCAAGATGGCGGTCGGCCACTACAGCAGCTCCGGGGTCTTTGGGCTAGTAAGAGCTAGCTTAAAAGGAGCTAACAATAGAACGGAATATACGGAAGTTCATCTTAGATTTTTACAAGAATACGCTTTGAAGAACTTCGTAATTAGGTGTTCCTACTTTAAACTGTATCTCTGGAACTTTGTAAACTGTTTTCACTGAAAAAATATTTGCAACAAATTCAAGTTTTAGCTTTATTTTTTGAAAGGTCTGATGAATGAAGTGTGGGGAAATGTTTACTTTTGCATAGTTGCACAGTTGTTTATGTTTTTATCACAGAGTGTTGATGAGGAACTTGCATCAAACTGCCTTTTGCACTTATCCGGAGAATTTGCATATTTATCACTAAAACTCAACTGAAACCCTGAATATTTAACTGTTGCTCACTACCTCAGACCCATGTTGAATGCCTACCTCTGAATCAGAGTAACATGACTGGATGAGAAGTACTTGAATGCCTGAATGTTTTTTGCACTTTGCCAACACTGAAAAGCTGCTGAAAGAAAAGTTTTTTGTACGAATTACACAAAAATGAAAAATAAACTTTATATTTAACCCTTTGACTTGCAGATCATTTAAGCATGCACCGAGATGCAACTTAAAGGATGTTTGAATAATTTTAATAAAACATTTTACTACCACAACTAAACAAAATGAGAATCCGCACACTTCAGTCTGCGATGTAGGAGTTTATTGGTCAAGCTTTCGGTCAGAGACCTTCATTGGGAATTGTGAAATCAGAAAAAATTTGAATTTTTTTTTCTTCTTGGTTTGGGAGTAAAACCCTCAGGCGTCATCAGGGACATTTTTGTCCATTTGGACAGTTTTTCCCTATTCGTTTGGACCATCGACTTATAGGTTTTGGACACCTTTTTATCAATGTTAGTGCATATGGTAACATTTTTGATGCAAAACCTCTGGCAAATTTTGAAATTTAATTTGTTATTTTGAAAATAAATCAAGGGAACACTATGAAAATAAACACCGTTCTCTTGACTAAATAAATGTCCGCTCGTCAGTTACCATAAAAATATATGACTTAACGTTTATTTTTTTCATAGGTGGTAAACAACTTCAGCCCTGCTCAAACATAAAAAATTCAATAATTGCTGATTTTAACCCTTGAAAAGCTAGTTTGATCATTTATGTAATTTATGAAAAACAAAAAAATTTATCCATTGAAAAACTTTTTAAACCAGGGGCATTTATTACAAATCAGTTTTGTTCATGTTACAAAATATCTAAAACACAATTTTTTTTGCATAGCAACAGATTTGAAAGTCAGTACGCTCGAAGTAAATGGGACATTTTTGTTCCAAAGAGGCACAAAAAGGATGCATTTTAAATATGTTGCTACACAAAAACTAATTAAGCAAATTTGTGATATGTTGTCAAATTCTTGACATATTCAAGGCAGAATATGCCTTGAAAAATATATAATTCTGTCACCCAAAATGTGTTTTCTGTAAAACATCTTTTTCTATTTTCAGTAAGACATTTGCGTCACACATTCTAGCTGGTCTGCAAAGGGATAAAATTTAAACTTTCAATTTTTGAACTGAACTGAAGCTGATCACAAGATGCAGACAAAAAAAATTTATGTATAATTTTTTTAAAAGCTGTTTCTAGAAGCAGACATTAGCATTTCTAATTACACACAAGGGTAGTGATTTTATGTTCTTATTTTAGATATTTCGTAACATATTCAAGTGTGGTTCGTAATAAAGGCCCCACCCGGGCAGGAAGATTTTTGGAAAAAAAAAAACTTTTGGGGGTCCCATAAATTACAGCAACGACACTGAGAAATCAAACTGGCATTTTAAGGGTTAAACTCCTCAAAATAAGTGATTTTTTTTTAGGTTTGAGCAGATATATTATTTAACAGATCTATGAAAACAAGCAAAAAAAACAACTAAACATACATTTTTAGCTACTTTTACAAGCAGACATTGTCATCTTTGAGTCAGTCTGACTACATGGTAAATTAAAGTCATGCTTGGGGGTTAAATGAAAAGCATTTAACAGTAGAATAAGACCAGTGAAGCTTATCAATGGGGAAAGGACATTTTATTACCATTGAACTTTTGAATAGGTCTGCAAAGCTGATTACTAGGGCGCGGCCGATATATCGGCCGGCTGATATTGAGGTCATTAACAGTATCGGCTATTGGCCAAAAAGACTGCCGATATTGCACTTCCTATCCAGCAGATGGCGTCAGCTTTATGAACTCATGTGGCTTTACTCCTTTGAACACATGATTGTTTTGGAACGTTTTTTTTTATTATTTATTCTTATGTTTCTTGTGTGCAATTATTTCCTGTCCAGGGTGAATAAGTTCACCAAGTTAACTTCCAGTTTTACTTTGCTACAAAACACAAGTATTACATTTTATTTATTGCTGCATTTTTATTATTTTAATATTCTTCTAGGGATCGTCTGTCCCTTTGTGTTGTTAGCGCACACACTGATGTGTGTGCGACATTTGTTCTCCGCATTTGACCCATCCCCTGGGGGAGCGGTGAGCTGCAGACACAGCCGCGCTCGGGAACCATTTGGTGGTTTAACCCCCCAATCCAACTCCTTAATGCTGAGTGTCAAGCAGGGAGGCATTGGGTCCCATTTTTCCAAAGTCTTTGGTATGACCCGACCAGGAATTGAACCCTGATCTCCCAGTCTCAGGGCAGACACTCTACCACTAGGCCACTGAGCTGGTTCTTTAATAGTAGTTTGTAACATAAGGATGAATGTTAGCAGTTTTACTTATAACACGTAGTGAAATTATCCAAACAAAAAGCCACAAATCACAGTAAAAACCATCTCCATAATCTTTATTATGTCATAAAAAAGTCAAATTGGTATCAGATTAAAGAAAGTAGAAACTGACAATTATCAGGTAGCTGGCGAGGCATCTTACAGGGGAGTGGCGTATCTGACGGACTGACCAGAGAGACCTCAGAGGGCATCACAGGTCGACCCGGAGTAAAAAAAAAATTCCTGGGTAAACAAACTCATTTTAACAGACAGGAGAAGAAAAACTTTGGCAAAACTGTAATAAGGTTCGACTCAGCCCCGCACCGGCCTGGCTCAAACCTAAATATAAACGGAACCGGTTCCAGATCCAGACACAAATCGCACAGACTGCTTGAGTCCAAATTATTGAGGATGCAGGTAGAGATCATCGTTTCAGATTTCACCTCGAGTTGCAAAGGACAGAGGCCTTCTTAATTTAAATACTGCTTTGATGCTTCAGTGATTGGAGTGTGTGTGTGTGTGTGTGTGTGGGGGGGGGGGTGTAAATAAGTAACAGGAGGTAGAGGAAGGGTTTAGACATTCTACTGCTCCTGCTGCTACAAAAACAAAGAAAAAGAAGAACCTCCAGCTCTTGTGACTGGAGGTTTTAGTCGGCCTCCTCCTCCTCAGACTCGGACTCTGCAGAAAACAGAAATTATTTAGGACTTAAACCATTCCCATTTTTATTTTGCTTAGGCAAAAGCGTCGGCCACGGATGCCTTACCTTCCTCGGCATTTTTCAGCCACTCAACAAATTTTTTCATCTGCTCAAGGAAGACGCTCTTCCCCTTGGCGACGTGGGCTTCAGTGTACCACTTCAATATGGCCTCCTCGCTCAAAACATCAGCTGCTCCAAACAAAAGGGATAAAGTCAGAGACGAAGCACTCCGCCATGTTACACGCATGCAAGGTGCAGGCTAGTACTGACCTTTGTAGAGGAGCACCACAATCTTCTGAAAAGCTTTCATGAAGTGGATGTTGTCGTAGCAGTACTCCTGGATCTTCAGCAGCAGGCTGAGCTCGGACAGACCCTGGGAGGTGAAGGCCTTCAGCAGAGGGCTGTATTGCTGAGGGAGACGACGACAGGACACATTATAAGCTACTTCTACATCAGACAGAATAATTAGCAGATCATATTACATCACAGCTATCCATAAAACAAACTATTTACAATTTGGTCCCAAATTCATCTCCGTTTCAGACTTGTGGAAACTAAACAGGCTCCCTTAAACCGCCTAATTGTTAGGATTGCAGGCAGACATTATGACCAATCTGTGTTTCTTGTTGAACTACAAGGTAGGTTTGTCAGTGTGAAAATTCAACCTCACGGTTATAGTGACTAAAATTATCACGGTTTTCGGTATTATCGCGGTATTTTTTTAAACGCGTTACATTTGCAGACAACAAAATAAACCCTGTATATCAGGAAAATATTGTCCTCAGTTTGTGTCTAAATTTAGCCTAAAATTTGTTATTTTGTAATTATGTTGTTTATTTGTTTACATGTTTCCCCTTTAGTCTTTAAAATACCAATATTTGCTCATAACTTCTTATTTTATGTCTGTTTGATGTCATCATTTTAAAAATATTAGATCAGATGATACTCAGTACTCAAGTAGCCTTCTAATCAGATACTTTTTTTTACCCTTACTTGAGTAATAAACCCTATATCAGGAAAATGTCCTCGGTTTGTGTTCTTCCAGTGAGCTTTGCAGATGTGGGAAAATGTCATCAGGCAGTAATCATTGTTAAATTCATAATTATTTTCGGCGAGAGACCAACTCTTATCTGCCGCTGGGAGCCCCGTAATGCATAGCGTCATTTCAACATGGGGGTAGGGATGCACCGATGGATCGGCATTTAATCCCAATCGGCCGATAGCGCACCTATCGGTTTTGATCGGAGTTTTCAAAATAGATCAAAGCAGATCGATCAGGTAGGGTTGTCACGGTAACCGGTGTAGTGGTAAACCCCGGTAAAAAAAAAAGTTGACAATAATAACAACCGTCTTGTATTTTAAAAACTATATTATCTCGGTGGGTTACCGTGGCTGCGGTGTAGGCGCGGTGACCCTAACCAGCCACCGTATCATCTGCTGAAGTTGCCGGTGACATATGCGCACTTTGTTGTTTACAAGCAAAACTTTCTTGAAGCTAAAGCTGAAATAATGACAAAAGGAGGAGACGGCAGCACTCAGGACATTTATTATCCCCCAAAGAAGACAAAGTGGGAAGTACGGGCATCTTTTGGATATTTGAAGAATGCCGAGGGACAGTTGATAGAAGACGGCTATCCTGTTTGCAGCACGTGCAGAAAAAGTGTCTGTGAAAGGCAACAACGCTTCAAATCTCATGACACATCTGTGTGACCATCACCCACAACTCTACAGTCAACGCAAGGCAAGCTAACGTTAGCCTTTTAGCTAAAATGCGTGATCCGAGGATTTGGGTTGAGGGAGAATGCAACGAGCCGCTATATAAAGCAGACGCAGCACCGCTACCTGCATATAAACCGTGTCGCGGACCCCCCCATGTTGAAATGACGCTATGCATTACGGGGCTCAGACAAAAAATAAGTTATGGGCAAATATTGGTATTTTAAAGACTAAAGGGGAAAAATGTAAACAAATAAACAACATCATTACAAAATAACACATTTTAGGCTAAATTTAGACACAAACCGAGGACAATATTTTCCTGATATACAGGGTTTATTTAGTTGTCTGAAAATGTAACACGTTTTTAAAAAATCGCGATAATACCGAAAACCGTGATAATTCTGGTCACAGTAACCGTGAGGTTAAATTTTCACACCGTGACAACTCTAACCAGTAGTAATAAATCAAATTACCACTACAAGGTAACTGTGGCAACACTGCACAAGACCCTGAATGGAACGATCCAATCATCAGGATCAGTTACTTTAACAGCATACCTTCAAGTGTTTGATGGCTTGTTCGGTCACCAGCTCCTCCTTCTTGTTCCACTCCACGCAGCTCATAAGGCTGGTCCAGATGAGGCCAATCATGGCCTGCTCAGAAAGGTTGGCCTTCTTCATCTCCTCTCTGGTGAAGGCAATGATCTGAGGGACGAACACGAAAAACATTAATGCTCCTCATCAAGTTCCCGTTGGTACAGCCACCGTGAACCCTGACCTCTTTCTGAGGGTCCCCGCGGGACATCATCTCCTGGAGCTCCTTCTGCAGCTCTTTGCGCGCACCTATTGACTGCTGGTTGCGGGCAAAGTCAGACAGCTCCTTCAGCCCGGCGTCAGTAAAGTACTTAGAGAAATGCTCGCAGCTCCGTTTGTTGGCAGGAAAGAGTTCCTGTTAGGTGGAAACATTCAAATCTGTCACACCAACAGAAACGAGTCCAAACACATATGAGAAAGATGAGAGTACCATCAGCCTGTTGTCCATGCCAACTTTGCGGAGACTACCAGCAACTGAGTTGATGTCCTTTTCGTTGATCCATGATTTGAAGAGCTTGACAGCAAAAGCTGCAGAGACTCCTGCACAGACCACAGCGTTTAGACTGATGAGTTTCTCTGTATGTAATACAGAAACCGCCATTCCTTGTGTGTTAATGCAGAGACTTCACTCTGAAGTCTGAGCGACACTATTGCACAATAAAAACAAAACTTTAGCCAAACTTAAAGGTTCTGACCCTCCTTGACGAGGTTTTCGTTGAAGAGGCTGTTCAGGATGGAGGCCGATATGCTGCCGTTGGCCAGCAGGATGCCGGCCAGCATGGCCAGTTTGTTGCGCTCAGACTCGGTGAACCCCTTCAGAAACAGCAGCAACTGCAAAACAAAGACGGGTCAGCTGTGATCCAGTAAAAGGGAGGAAAATGACTAAATCTCTCCAGCCCCATAGGTGTGAATGCTTCCGTTTCTGATCAGTGTCCGTTTACAGAAATGATCCACTTACCAACTAGCAGCTGCAAGACCGTCGACAGGCAGGAACAAACCGCCCACCCAACCAGAACCACCTAAACTCACCTTTTTGATCTCCTCCTCAAAACCTTTCTCCAGGTACTTGTAACGCCTGATCAGCTTGTTAAAAACCTTTAATGCAGAGAAACGCACGGTCAGCGCTTCAGTTATGAATAATTTCTGCCATCTGACTTGTTTAGCGAAGGTCTACCTGAGCATAAGCTTGCATCGTCTCCAGGTCTTCTTGTGCCGTGAAGAGGCAGAACTCGGTGCGGGTCATGTCGTCAGACAGAGTGCCGCCTGGGGCTAAAGGAAACAATAAGATTTTAAGAAAGAAACTATTGTTTTACTGCGTCTGTGATTCCACAGCGACTTACCCAGCATGCCGCCGGCCACCAGGATGTCAAACAGTGTCTCTGCATACCGGCGGTAGTCGAGCTTGGCTCCAGAGGCATCGAGGAACTTTGCAACCGCTTCCAAATCAGTGCCAGTTTGATTCAAGCCTTGTACGATACTTTCTTGAAACTGAGTAGGGTCAAACCTCTCCTTTTCATCTGTGAAAGCAGAGTTGGGTTCAAATAAAATAAACTCTTCACAGGACAAGAAATCAAGACACGAAAAAAAAAAATCACCTCTTTTCCTCGTTTTGAAACGCTGGCCTGTTAGCGTCGGCTTTTGCTGCTTTTGATTATTCATAAAAGACACCTGGAAAGAGTCAAGATGGCAGTTATGGCTCACACAACATGAAAGAACCACATCAAGGACAAAAAATGCTCGGCACTCAGTTTATTTTTGTTTTGCCTGGGTTTGTGCGTAACTGAGGATGGATCCATGTCAGAAGAGATTACAGAGCAGCGTTCACATAAACTGTTAATGATTGGCTGACCTCCGTTAGTTGGACAACTAACTTCAAACGCCGCAGACATTCATGCACTTATAGACTATAAACGCTTTCATTAGCTCATCAGCCCTGAAGGATAGAAAACATTTCTCCAGAAAGCTTTCATCAAGGAGGAGGACCTCATCGGTCAGACGGGTCTTACTCCAAATTGTTTTTACTAAAGTCTTCGTTTTGTTGACTGTGGGGTAAAATCTACCCGTATAGATAAATTAGGAAAGTGTGCCTTCAAAACTGGGGGAAAAACGCACAAAAATTCCATGTTGTACATGTACAAATTAGGGATGCAACGATAACACATTTTACAAACCTATACGATACCGATACTTGGATCTGAATACTCGTCGATACCGATTACCGATACCAATACTTCTACCACACAAAAAAAAAATGCAATGATTTGGAATACAGATTTTATTTTCTTCTCTGCTTTCAACAGGAAAAGACTGCGAGGTAGAAAAAAAGTAAAACATGTGAATAGAAATCATCACAAAACAAAAATATTAGGTGAACAGAAATGACAAGTTACAGTGAAGCCTTTTTCAAGCAACTGCATTGGTATCGGTTCCTGGTATTGGTTAACTTTTACCGATGCCAGTATCGTATCGGTATTAGGGTTGTCACGGTGTGAAAATTTAACCTCACAGTTATTGTGACCAAAATTATCACGGTTTTCGGTATTATCGCGGTATTTTTTTAAACATGTTAAATTTTCAGGAAACTAAATTAACCCTGTATATCAGGAAAATATTGTCCTTAGTTTGTGTCTAAATTTTGCCTAAAATTTGTTATTTTATAATGATGTTTATTTGTTTACATTTTTCCCCTTTAGTCTTTAAAATACCAATATTTGCCCATAACTTCTTAATATGTGTCTGTCATCATTTAAAAAAATATTAGATCAGATGATACTCAGTACTCAAGTAGCCTTCTAATCAGATACTTTTTTACCCTTACTTGAGTAATAAACCCTATATCAGGAAAATATTGTCCTCGGTTTGTGTCCTTCCAGTGAGCTTTGCAGATGTGGGAAAATGTCATCAGGCAGTAATCGTTGTTAAATTCATAATTATTCTCGGAGAGAGACCAACTCTTATCTGCCCCTGGGAGCCCCGTAATGCATAGCGTCATTTCATCATGGGGGTGTCCGCGACACGGTTTATATGCAGGTAGCGGCGCTGCGGCTGCTTTATATAGCGACTCGTTGCATTCTCCCTAACCCAAATCCTCGGATCACGCATTTTAGCTAAAACACTAGCGTTAGCTTGCCTTGCGTTGACTGTAGAGTTGTGGGTGATGGTCACGCAGATGTGTCATGAGATTTGAAGCGTTGCTGCCTTTCACAGACACTTTTTCTGCACGTGCTGCAAACAGGATAGCCGTCTTCTATCAGCTGTCCCTCGGCATTCTTCAAATATCCAAAAGATGCCCGTACTTCCGACTTTTGTCTTCTTTGAGGGATAATAAATGTCCTGAGTGCTGCCGTCTCCTCCTTTGGCCATTATTTCAGCTTTAGCTTCAAGAAAGTTTTGGTTGTAAACAACAAAGTGCGCATGTGCCGCCGGCAACTTTAGCAGATGATACGGTGGCTGGTAAGGGTCACCGCGCCTACACCACAGCCACGGTAATCCACCGAGATAATATAGTTTTTAAAATACAAGACCGTTATTATTATTGTCAACTTTTTTACAGGGGTTTACCGCTACACCGGTTACCGTGACAACCCTAATCGGTATCTGCACTGATACCAGTATTGGTATCGGGGCATCCCTAGTACAAATACCATTTTAGCTTTTTAAAAGTTTTTACATACTAAGGCTGGGCAATAAATCAAAAACAGATCAAAATTTCTGACTCTTAACGATATCATTTTCCCCCATGTCAATAAATTTGATAATAAAAACTTAAAAATGTGTTTGTAGGTTGGCTCCCTTTAAGAAGCTGTAACACCTTACGCAATACATGTGACAGCCCCTTTGGTGAGCAACTTTTGTTTCTGAGCATACACTTAGTTCTCGTTAGCGGTGAAATCCTCGATATATCGTGAAATTTATTTTTACGGCCATAATCACCCAGCCCTACAACAAGCTGATAGAAAAACAGCTACAGGAACTTGATCTGTACCTGGCACATCTGGACAAATCTTTTTTTTTTTAATTTAAAAGAAAAAAAAACATTTCCTGCCTCTCTACACAGAATAATGAAAATATAAAATTAAAAAAATATTTTTAAATCACATAAAGTCACGTTCGAGAGGAACGTTCACCATCACTGGGTTTTGTGCCCCTAAATATTTAACAACTCAAGCTATTGTTAGGTATAAATGTAAGAGTATTAAAACAGCATTAGTCATTTTACTTTAGTTTGTCCAGCTGTGACGTAGCTCATCAAGTTTATTAGAAAATGGAGAAATGTCTTAAAGCTACAGATATATGAAATGAACAAAACCTTTTACTAGTCAAGTAAGCGCGACTTACAATAATTACAGCGTTTAAGGACAGGTTTGTACTAAACAGCCTAACAAAAGGGACGACGGGCTAAACAAAGGCAAAGCGAGATGTAATGGAGCTGGTAGGTGTCGAGTCGTGACTTCAACCATCTGCTGCCATTTTTACTCTATTTAACCAAACTTGACTGTCAATCCTCGAGGGTTACGTTTCAGAGGTGTACTTTGAAAGGCTAAACTCCATTTTAATTAGTTATCATCGGGGATCTTTAGAAACAACAGAGAGCTAACAGAGGATTGGCTAGAGCTAACTCTGGGCCTCACCATGCGCAGGTGTTGTGCCGAATTCAGCACCCCCCCTTAAACCTTTAAATTAAGCCATCAAAACTTTTCCAAGAGGTTACTTACATACGTAGATCCAAATGTAGTGTTGATATATGTACATGGTTTGTATTTAAACGGTGTCATGCAGTAAATGTACACAGTTGGGGCGTTTGAAAAGCTATTTAAAATGGAGTGCGTTTTCCAGCACAACACCGGTTCGTCATTGGCTAGCCAGGCCCGCTAGGTGAAATCCCAGATTTAAAAACACCAGTTACTTATAATATTTTTACAAACGTACATGAACGTTTTTGTGACTTTTAACAAAAGTTGTAGTTGAAATGTCACAACACAACACGGAAACGGTCTCAAAGTGTGTAAACAAATGCTAAAGCTAACATCAGGTCGACGAACAAATTCGCCCTCCAGCAAGAGTTGCATGTTCCAAACGAAAAATAGCTCAAAACCTGTTTCATAAACTCGAACAAGACGCGACGAGGCGTTTTTAAGACAAACGATGAGTGGGGAAACACAAACGAAGGCGAAAAGACGGGTACTCACCGAAATTAATGCAGACAAAAAAAGGTTGTTAACCAGGGGAATTGAAGCAAGCGACGAGACTGAGCGGCCCAAATAAAAAGGGCTTCCCGTTGGGACTTCAGTAGGCTCCGCCCTCCGCGCAGGGGCGGAGCTAACAGGGGGTAGAATGACGAAAAAAACTGTCTAATAAAACATTTATACTATAGAAATATTAAAAAACGCTTTCTCATGTCAAAATGCGTTTTATATGATATTTTAAAATTTTAAAGATGTGTGCAAAACACAAGGAATTGAGGGGTCCCAATCAGTGATGGGAGTAACGACGTTTAAGTATAACGGCGTTACTAACAGCGTTCTTTTTTTGGGTAACGGAATAATCTAATTAATTACTTTTCCCACTGTTGCAATGTCATTACCGTTACTGGGGACGGAAGGTTGTGCGTTACTATGCGCTAGTCGAACGATGAGCAACAGTGTGAGGCATTCTGACCGCCACACTTCAACTGCAGCCAGGGAGAGAAGTGTCGGTAACGCACTTACAAACACGATGATGATTGGCCGGGTGGGCAGAGACCCTCACTGTCTCAGTCACTGCATGCTGTAGACACAACAGAGCAGTGATGGGAATAACGCCATTTAAAATAACCGCATTACTAAAAAAAAAAATTCTTTCAGTAACGAGCAAACAGATTAATTACGTCTTCTTTTATCAAAACATCATTTCTGTTACTGATAAGAAAATGCGTGCGTTAAGCTGCGCGGTGTGTTGAAGCTGTCATCAGCTGATCAGGAGCTAAAGAGGAAGATGTTTTCATCCAAGTGCATCACAGTGTCGGTACAGGACAAGACTTTACACAAAAGAACAAACCTCACAGCAGACGACATAGCACAACTGATAGGACTGGTAGCTAACTCCACTTACTTCACATACGACAACGCAATATACAAACAACTGGAAGGCTTCGCCATGGGTAACCCATTATCAGCCACCCTGTGCAAGTTTTTCATGGAGGACCTAGAACAAAAAGCCATAGCCACTGCCCCCCCCAAACTGTAAAATAAAACTATGGAAATGCTATGTGGATGACATACTGGAAATCATACCAAAAAGACAAACAGAAACACTAACACAACACTTAAATAACATTGACGACACAGGCAACATAAAATTCACTTATGAGTCAGAAACAGAAGGCAGCATAGCATTTATGGATATGAAAAGACCGACGGGACCCTAAACATAAACACATACAGGAAACCAACACACACAGACCAATATTTATTATGGACATCAGAACACCCCACCATACACAACATGTCAGTAATCAGAACATTATGCCACCGAGCAAACATGACAACAGAAGAAAGAGACCGTAAACAAGAGGACAAACACATCCAAAACGCTTTAAAGACCTGTAGATACCCGACATGGGCAATAAACAAAGGAAAACGGCAAACAAAAACAGAAAGAAAAGAACAACCTAATCAAAGAACCAGAAATCCAGAAAGACAAGAACCAAAACCAGTGATAACCCTACCATACATCAGAGGCGTAACAGAAAAAATAAGAGCAACAATGAAAAAAACACAACATAAACACACCAACAAAACCATACACAACAGTTAGAAACAGACTAGTGCACCCAAAAGACAAGATACCAGCTGGACTTAAATGTGGAGTCATTTATGAAATCCCATGCAAACTCTGCAATAAAACATACATAGGAGAAACCGGACGCCAACTCAACACACGAACAATAGAACATAGAAAGGAGTGCGAGAAGGAGGCAAATTGAAAACACACAAGAGCAGTAAAAGAAGAAGCAGAAAGCACAATAAAGAAGTCAGCTGTAACAGATCACTGCATAAGAGAAAACCATAAAATGGACTGGGACAACACAAGGATCATAAACATTGAACAACAGAAATACAAAAGATGGATTAAAGAAGCAATCGAGATAAGGAGACGTGGATGTGGGACCATGAACAGGGACGACGGAGTGTACACGTTAGACCGCGCATGGGACTGCATCGTCGGAGAGGGGAGAGCGGGCAGTAGAGGGCGACAACGTCCTCTGCTGGCCGCGGATAAATGGAGAAGGAAGTGACGCGCCACCATCAGCGTCAGCCTGAGGAAGCCTGCAGCTGCCGGCGAAACGTAGTGAAAAAACAGGTAAACAAAAACTGTTTCTGTGTTTTAAAAAGAACGACAACATGGAATTAGAAGCATCCTTTCCAGGAGTGATGCTGAAAAACTAGTTCACGCAATTATTACATAAAGACTGGATTACTGTAATTCATTACTCTCAGGAAGTCCACAGAATGTTGTTAAAAGTCTTCAGCTCATCCAAAATGCTGCAGCTAGAGTTCTGATGAGAATTAAAAAGCGAGATCATATCTCTCCTGTCTTAGCTTCCCTACATTGGCTACCTGTTAAATTTAGAATAGATTTTAAGATCCTCCTTCTCACATATAAAGCTCTTAATAATCAATCTCCATCATACATCAGTGACCTGATTGTTCCATATGTTCCTAACCGAGCACTTTGCTCTCACCCCTGCTTTCCACGGGAGCCGTCAGCAGCACGTTACTGCAGCAGCACGTCATAGCTGCTGATAGGAACCGCTGTGGTCAACAGAACCTTTTCCACTGGAGCCGTCAGCAGCGCGAGTCGGCCACGTCTCAGGAGCAGCATGTCGCGGCCTTTACACGCCGGTTCTATTTTCTACGCGCGACGCCTCTGAAACGGGTCAAGTTCGACATTTTTGGGGAAGGAAAGACAGGAAATCAGACGCAGAAATGGAGAGAAGCTCGCGAGATTTTCAGAATAAAGAACGTACTGCCTTCCGGTTGCTTTACTTTTAAAAAAAGTTACTAACCGTGCGGCCCCGTGAGAAGTTATCACCTAGCTAGCGGTTCCTTTGTTTTTCAGGTCCGTATTGGCGATTATAAAACGGACAGAACATAAAACACAAACCATTTGGAGCCATGTTGTAATTTTCTCCTGCTTGTTGTTGTGTTTACTGATGAAGTCACTCGTGTGACTTCGTGCTCTGTCGGTGACAGCTACTCCCCTGCTGCTTCGCGTCTCGTGGGAAGGGTCAAGCAGCAGCTTACACGAGCAAGACGTGCTGCTGCAGTAACGTGCTGCTGACGGCTCCTGTGGAAACCCGGGGTCAGACTGCAGCATGGGAGGCAGATCTTTTAGATATCAGGCTCCTCTTGTGGAAACAACTCCCAGCTTTAGTCCGTGAGGCAGACACCTTGTCTACTTTCAAGACTAGGCTTAAAACATTTTTATTTGATAGGGTCTATGGTTAAAATCTGTTAGCCTAGATCTGGACAAGTGGGGGAGTAGAGGGAGGTGGAGTGTACAGTCGGTAAAGACGGCTCTCCCTTGCCCTGCCTCCAACATGCCTCCATCTAAAAGGCTAGGTTATCCAGAGTTATCTCTGTAGTTATGCTGCTATAGGCTTAAGGTTGGTTTATGCTTGACGCGTCCGCGAGATCCGCACGGCTCAGCGCGGAAAAGTTGCGTCATTTTAACAACCACGCCCCTCCACTGCGCCTCCGCACTGCCCAAACTTTTCGCACCGCGCACCTAGGAAATTTTCTAACCACGCGGACGGTCGGACGCGGAAAAACATGGCGGACTGGCAAGAACTAGTATGGCAGAGTTTCGTAAATACAGACATTTGTATGATTCAGCTCTCAAAGATCAACGTGATCAACATGTTGTTAATAATTCTTGGAGAGAAATAGCTCACACTGTCGGAAAAGACGAGGACGCTGTTAAAAATGCTGGAATGCCATGTTGTAAACAACCGTCATTTTTACTTCTACTATGGTGTAGTGTTGGATGCATGCCATAGAGCTCCATGCTGCCCCGTTCAGTTTGGGAGAATATTGGCTCACCGCAGAGACAAGCCACATGAACAATAAACGCTGCAAGTTGTGAAGCGCGTTCCATCCGCGAGCCGCATCACCAAGCGGAAAGTGAATACGTCAAGCATAAACAAGCTGTAGACTGCTGGAGGACACACTGACAACTTTCCACACTCTACTACTTTCTTCTACAATCTGCTCTTTAACTGTATTATTTCCTGCTATTTCAGCTGTTAACTTTATTTTTTCTCTAAGTGTTTTTCTCTCCAGAAGAAGCTACAATGATGTTCTGCTGAGCTGTGGTGGCCTCATGGAGGGGGCCATCGTCTTGAACACTGCTGCTAACCATTTAATCATTCTCCCTCTCCTGATAATAACACTTTACTTTCCTTGATGTTGGATGTGCTACTACTAGTTTACCCGTTTACTTATAGATCCACTAGGATAAATACAATAAAGTTTATCTCTCACCAAATAGAATATTTACTAAGAAATCACAATGTAACTATAGACACATTACTTGGTATATTTGTTGTGAGTGTGTGTGTGTGTGTGTGTGTGTGTGTGTGTGTGTGTGTGTGTGTGTGTGTGTGTGTGTGTGTGTGTGTGTGTGTGTGTGTGTGTGTGTGTGTGTGAGCTCTGTCTTCTCGATTCCCAGTGAGTCGTGGCGGATGGCTGCTTATATCGAGCCAGGATCCTCTGGAGCAGGGGTGGGCAATCCTGGTCCTTGGGGGCCGCTATCCATTAGGTTTTAGTTGTTTCTCTGCATAACCACACCTAGTTTGAATCTGCTGGTGATTAACAGGATGTTGCAGAGCCTGATGAGCTGCTGAACAGGTGATTTATCCAGGAATCAGGGGTGTTGGAGCAGAAAGAAACTAAAACATGCTGGATAGCGGCCCTCGAGGACTAGGATTGCCCACCCCTGCTCCGGAGGTTTCTTCCTGTTAAAAGGGAGTTTTCCTCTCCACTGTCACTAAATGCTTGCTTAGTATGAGGATTGCTGCAATTTGCTGGGTTCCTTATAAGGAAACTTTTTTTCTGATTGGCTTAATGGGCAGCAGTAGCTCAACAGGTTGAGCGGGTTATCCAGTAATCGGAAGGTTGCAGGTTCGATCCTGGCTCCGGACAGAGAATTCTGCTGTTGTGTCCTTGGGCAAGACACTTAACTCACCTTGCCTGCTGATGGTGGTCGGAGGGTCCGGTGGCGCCTGTGCTCGGCAGCCTCGCTTCTCATCTCCATCAGTGTATGAATGTGTGTGTGAATG